AAGGCCATAAAACTAATAAATTAAGTAAAAGCCAATAATATCATAAAAACAACAAACAAAAATCATAAAAACATTAAAACCAACGTCTCAAAATGAGCTAAATGTCAAGGAGAAAAATAATTGAAAACAGGAAGTGAGTTGGACGTTGATGTTTGTGTTGGATTATTTATCTTTTTAGCCTGAAATTTGTCCTTATTTCAAGAAGAGTCTTATTCCAGTGGCAGATTAATTTAGAAATTTACACGCTTCAGACTCAAATTAAGTGAAATAATCTGACACTTGGGGTTGGTGTCGTCCTGGAACCGGAAGGTTTGATCCCTGGTTTGGACCTGGGATCTCTCTGTGCAGAGTTGTGTGTTCTCGTCATGCTTGCAGGGTTCCCAGGTTTCCTCCACACCACAAAAACACGTACAGGTTGCCTTCAGGCCCAGGCTGCCCTTGAAAAAGAGATCTGTGATCTCAATGGGATTTGCCTGGTTAAATACTGATAAATAACAAGATTAATAATCCAAAACATTCTGCTTTTCCTCATATAACAACCTCCAAACAAGATCAAATATCATTTTTAGCTGATATAAGATAAAAAAAACTTGGTTAGATGAACAATCCTTGATTAACTTTCTCCCACTACTGATCAACATCACCTGACAGATTATCTCAGTCAGTTTTTGAAACAATGAGCTAAAGTTTAGCACGAAGGCAGCTGACAGTCACCCACAACACGTGCTCTCTGTACGACAACACGAACGATACCATGAGATAATACTTAATCTTTTTTTCAAGGTTTGATCAGAACAGTTAAAACTCAACAAGCAGTTTGGGCTCTGTCATTGAACGCGGTGCTTTTTATTGATCAATAAAAAACACATTTTCATAATCCAGCTGAAATATTCTGTTTTTAAATGTAAAATAATGGACAACAAGTTGGCTCCTGCCAAGGCTACAAAGCTGATAGAGTTGAAATGAAAGTGCTGCCGCCGGTGACAGTTTGACAAGTCACTGTGAACTGCTAAAAAAAACAACATTTGTCAGTGCGACATGAGGCCGATGATTCTGTGCTGATAGATTTCTAGAAAAAGAAAAAGAAAAAAACGACTGTGTTAGGATAAAAAAAAAAGGCTGAAGTGTGTGTGTGACTGAGAGCGATGTCAGTGTCCTTAACTGCTGGAGCAGCGATAAGAGGAAAGAGCCACAGCTGCTGGGAATTTATCAGGACAGAGGGCGAAGTCTGCTGGCAGTCAGCCGCAGGAAAACACACGTTAGAAAGCTGATCAGTGAGTCTGACATTAAATGTTTCAGTGGTCCTGTGACGGACCAGGATGGACAGTGACCCCCGTGACCCTGAAAAGAAGAGGCGGGTAAAGATAATGAATGAATAGTTTCAGGTGTTTTGTTTTTATCACATCAAAAAGTCTGTTCCTCAAACACAAAATGAGTTTTTAAGCAGAAGTTACATGAATCATGAAGCAATTCTGCAATAGAACAAGTCATCTGAATTTTGCAACATCAAACTTCTTAATTTCACAATAACTCAGCTCTGTGTGTGTGTGTGTGTGTGTGTGTGTGTGTGTGTGTGTGTGTGTGTGTGTGTGTGTGTGTGTGTGTGTGTGT